AAAAAGCCTAAAAAAACCGGACAAGCCGGACGAGAGAATATTTGGCCGGACACGTCCCCATAAAGCCAAACATGTCCGGCTAAAGTCGGACACCAGGCAACCCTACTCGGACAGCAGGGCTACTCCAAAGTACTCCGAAACTCTATTTACTTTCGGGTCTATCTGTCACTGTCGCTCTTGCTGGCATCTCGCTTTACGTGACAGAGATGGCAACATTCGAAACTGGATAACGTTTTTCGGAGTAACCCTGCAGACGGTCCCGCAGATAACAGTTTGGTACCAATATTTAATTTTCTCTCGAATTGATTGTGTTTAGTACTGAAGCGCAAAGTTTGATGTTTTGTTTAGGCTGTAAATCATTGATAGGTGCCATTTATTTGTTTTGAATCGATTTAATGTAAATAGTTCTTGATTATTTGAGCTATGTTTGGTTCGTAAAATTACCTCTAGGCAATATCAATTATCTGTGTCAATTACGTTACAAATAGGTGAGTTATTAATATGAATATTTCAGACATTCAGTCATTAGGTACCTACCTACCTACATAAGATCCTACTTACTTGCTTACAATATTACGAGTACAGTACTTAAACAACTTCAGAAGATAGAAAAAGTTGAAGCAGCAAGCTATCAAAACAATGTTTAGACAAAGGTAAGTGAAAAACATCTTAAAATTATTCTTAGTGCACCTCTACGGTACCTAAGCTACGTCCCTTATAAAGTTCAAGTGCCTACGTTTAGCCGTTTAGGCTGTGCGTGGGTATGTCAGTGAGTCAGTCATACAAAAGGAATTTCCCGCTAATTCCAGTTCCCGTGGGAATTTTGCAATATCCTGTTGTAATTAAGCTTTAAGTTTACTTAGGTACCTGCATGCCAAATTTTAAGCGTCTAACTTACGCGGTTGAGATTTTTTCATACAAATGTTTTTTCCCGCTAACTCCCGTTCCCGTGAGAATTTTTCAATATCCTGTTGTAACTAAGCTTTAAATTTACTAAGGTACCTGCATGCCATCAAGCGTCTATCTTACGTGGCTTAGATTTTTTCATACAAATGTTTTTTCTCGCTAATTCCCGTTCCCGTAGGAATTTTGCAATATCCTGTTACAACTAAGCTTTAAGTTAAACTAAGTTACCTGCTTGCCAAATTTCAAGCGTCTAACTTAAGCGGTTTAGATTTTTTATACAAAAGGATTTTCCTGCTAATGCCCGTTCCCGTGGGAATTCCTAAGTATCCTATAACCTGCCCAGGAGTATGAAGAATAATTGTACCAAGTTTCGTTAAAATCCGTCGAGTAGTTTTTGTTTCTATAAGGAACATACAGACAGACAGACAGACAAAAATTTTACTGATTGCATTTTTGGCATCAGTATCGATCACTAATCACCCCCTGATAGTTATTTTGAAAATATATTTCATGTACAGAATTGACCTCTCTACAGATTTATTATAAGTATAGATTTTTGATTACAAGTTTCACGTGAGGTACCTACAGTTAAAAGAATCTGTCTACTGTAATTGTAAGTAAAGTCGCGGGCAATTATCTACTTATTTATTACCAAGTCTGTACAAGTATACTATCGTTACCACAAGTAGCCCGTAACAATAATATTATTAGCTCTCATGGAATCTCCAAAGTGTATTCTGTACACTAACGAGCTCTACACTGCAGTGCATCTCCAGGTAACTACCGTAGCGGGATGCCGCGGCCTCTACCAATGGATCACACATCACAGCGGTTATTCAAACATTTTGTTTAAAAGAACCTATTTTTAGTATTTTCATAAAATAAATGCAAAGTAGATGAGACAAAGCTTTTTTATCATCTCATCTTTATGCGCTACATTGTTAAACTTTTTGGTACTATGGCGCTACGAGTCTCGTAGCTACTTGCTACGGTGCTACGAGTCTACGATGACGATGATTGCGTGTAAATAATTTGCCCGCGGCTTCACCCGCGTGAAATTTAGTTTGTTATATATCGTTATAAATTATAGCCTATATGTTATTCTGGGTTATAAACAATAATATTGTAAAGTTTCATCAAAATCCGTTCTCTAGTTTTTGCGTGAAAGAGTAACAAACATCCATCCAGACATCAACACTTCCGCATTTATATTTTTTAGGATAATAAAGCCCTTCCCTTCCGAATTACAGTATGCCTCGTAATTCGTCGTGCCTCTTGGCATAGGCCTCCTCCAACTCCTTCCACTGGGCTCTATCCTCTGCTACTCTGGTCCAGCATGATCCCAAGGTAAGTATATTATTGTCTTTCCATCTTGTTTTTGGACGCCCTTTCCTTCTAAGGTCTACTCTTGGGTACCATAGGGTCACTTGTTGCTCCATTTGTTTATCTTGTAGCGTGTAAATAGATAAATATAAATTGGACACTCGTCGTTTCAGCCAAATGACGTCCAGTGCTAGACAAAGGCCGCAAGGATATCCGTAAGGTCCTAGTAAATCTCATTAAAAATCTTTCATCTTATCCTACGGCAACTCGTAAGTTGCCGTAGTAACATGATACGATAAGATACGGGGTAGGTGTTCCTGAAGCCTCTCTTATCCTGAACCCTTTTGTTACATCTAAATCTATGTAACTTTAAACCTTTATGTATCTACTTCTGAAATATAGTACACTGACCCATAACACCCTGAAAACGGTGTATGGGAGTTGAATTCAGGTATCTATTGCGAGGGAACTTAATTGTATCTTTGTTATTATTAAATGTGATCGTTAAAGGATTACATAATACTATACTGCTCCAAAAATAAAGAAAGAAAGATACATTTGTAATAAATGTATCTTTCTTTCTTTCAATAACTTTTTAAAAAAATAAAACCGACTTCAAATGCGTGAACACAAAAAAAACTAAAAATTGCGTATAAAAAAGTTCATCCCCAATTTTCCACCCTTGGGGTGAAATATTTTCTTCAAATTCGCATGAAACCACCCTTTTGATAATACCTATTCAACAAAAAAATAATCGTTCAAATTGATTTATAATCGGCGGAGATATTGCGTATAAAAAAGTTCATCCCCAATTTTCCACCCTTGGGGGTTGTTTTTTCTATTATTAAATTTAAATGGGACCACCCTTGAGGTATTACCTATACGCCGAAAAAAGATTTGTTCAAATCGGTTCATAATTGGCGGAGTTATCGCGTAACAAACATAGAAAAAAAAAACATACGGGTCGAATTGAGAACCTCCTCCTTTTTTTTGAAGTCGGTTGAAAACTACGCAAAATGGGTAAATAAACATGACTAGATTTTTTATGCAGATGCAAGGTAGGTATTTGACTGTGATCTCACCTGACTCTAAGTTTGCTCGTAGAAAATTGAGAGAAACTATTATACTCTCTCAAAATTCAACAAAAGTAATTTAATAATAGGGCCATTCTTATTCTTACGCATTTTTGTGTGAGATGTAAGAATAGCATATGTTTTTAAAGAAAATCAGTGCACTGTATATTAATTTACTAAGTAAAATACCTCTATTAACTAGGCCCAATATCATTTTTATCATAAAACTATTAGAAGAATATTTAAAAAAAGTTACAAGTCCAAAATGTCACGGACCGTGTAGTGTGAGATTCCCGGATTTGGACATACAATATTTTTTTCTGAAGAGATGTTATGTTATTTTGATAAATATTACAGTAATTATGCAAGATTAATACATGTTATATAAGANGTGTGTGTGTGTGTGGGTGTGTGTTATGTGTTAGTTATTGTATTGTTTTAATAAAAGCCTCACTTTCTTCGTAATTTTTAGATATTAACCATTCGGTTAGAAGTTTCTTGCATTCTACTTTTGTTAGTGGATATATATTAAGTAAACGATTAATTTTGTTATATAGATATGGTCCCAAAAAGCAAAAGAATTTTTTGGCAAAAGTTGTTCTAAACCCTTTAAGAGTACATACAATATCTTTACGTCTAATTAGTTGTGTCCTGGGGTCATAAGATGTTTTTGAGTGTTGTTTTAATATTATTTGGAGTATGAATAGCTGTCGGATTGAGAGTACACTCCACTCCCTATATAGGTCATTTGTTGGATGAAGGTAGTGTTTGAAGGTCGCTACTTTAAGAATGGCTCTTTGGGCAACTTCTAGGGATTTTAGGTCCGTTTTGGCTGCGCCACCCCAGCTAGAGATACAATAAACAAACACTGATTGACATAGAGCATAATATACTGAACGAATTATCTCAAAATCGGCGAAGTGGCGGAGTATTTTAAAAACATATGTGAGTTTGTATGCTTTCGAAGAAAGCTGTTCCAGGTGGCAGCGAAAATTAAGATGTTGGTCAATGATAACACCTAAGTATTTGATATTCGTAGCACTTTTAAGATTATTACAGTTACATGTAGAGGTGTCAATACAAGTATGTGCTGTAAGAGCCAGATTTTTATCCACTGGAAGAGCCGCTTTGCGGATGCCGAATGTTATATATTTAGTTTTGTCTGTATTAATTGTCAGTAAATTGCCTTTTAGCCATTTAAGAACTTCATTTAGACCCGATTGCGCTGCAATAAAAGTATCCCTCCAAGTATCACCCTTGAAAATCAGTGATGTGTCGTCCGCAAAAGATAGGATGTTACCATTAGTTAACTTCATCGAACACAAGTCGTTTATGTAAATTAGAAACAAGGTAGGGCCCAATATACTCCCTTGAGGGATACTACCTACTTGCTTAAGTAAAGCAGCAAATCGAACCCACAGCGTTGAATAGAGCTCTGTGATTGGTTCGTGTGTCACCCTGTGCGTCCACGCGTACTGTGAGACCTCATAGTAATGTTTGTGAATACGGGCGTGAATCTTATCACATTCAACCACAGGCACATAAGTTGTCATTACCCCTCTTGTTATACGGACGCTAGCACATCAGACTTACATTTTTGTTGCAATATCGCCCCTGTTACAACCACATAAGACACCGTGTTTAGTTTCATGTGCTGTCGTCAGTTATATTTCTTCTTTAAAAGTATCAATAAAATTCTTACCCCCTCCGATTTTCCAAGTCAAATATGCGTGAATTGGTCTTCAAGTCTATACAGATGACCCGGCTATCGTCAGTCGAAGCGAACAGCAAAGTGCCAATCTTGTTAACGACTATGGTCAAGAATAAAAGATTGTCCTTCACGTCTTTGGCTTCAATGATCTTGTTGCACATACACGTATTGCTTTGGTAGTTTATTTGATACAGGTGTTGCGTTATTTCTTTCGCTTTTAGGGTGATGATTTTTATTGTTTTGTGGTGACCTGTAAGAAATATCGTTTTAGTTTGGGGCTAATAACTAATTTAGTAAATACATGATTGCTTGGTCATGCCATATTTTGAGCTTGAATTAAGCTTCAAAAAACTGTAAGTGATAAAGCTGTAGTTTCATATTACATTTCTTCATGCTAATTGATAATGGCGCGAGTATACTATGCCGGAAATTGGCCGAGACGTAATAGTGTGAACACCGTCTCAGTTACTTTCTTCTTCGCACACCCGTGTGTCGCCCATACTTCGGTGTACGATCTAGCGCTTCGTCTCGGTCATAGTTCATAGTGTACTTGCGCCATTAGATTTAATGACTAACTTGGAACAACTAAGATGTTGAGCACCGGCCCAGTTTCCTTTATGGTCATGATCTTGTCTTTGCTCGTCTGGTCGATGACGAACAGATAGTTGGCGCCGTTGCTGACCACAGCCGCGATCAAGTAGTTGTCGTAGTTGCATGGAGCGCAACATAGTATCTCTTGGTCCCTGTGAATGACACATGCATTATGAAGATGGTTATGTATAAATATAGGTCGCGCAGCAAGAGTTGAGGCGATCAACACAAGCAAATATTTCTGTATAAGGTGACGGCGTCGAAGTCTTGCGTATTCTGACTGATTTGTGTATTCAGAGGGCTTAGTGTGAGTTTACATCAAACGACGTCACTAGCGAGCGCGTTAAAAAAATACAATTACGAAGATTTTAGTTCTTGAAAGTTTCCGCTAGGGGCGCTGTACAATCCGATACATTTAATGTCCTTTTTTACGCAGTCGATATCGAATGCGTTTGATGTAACTCACACTACGCCCCCTGAATTCAAATATTACATCAGTGTGAGTATGTTCGCCTCAACTTACGTTGTGCGACCTATACCTAGATTAGGAATTTGTGTTTTATTCCTTTGCGTTTTAAACTTCAAGTTTGTTAAGACGTCATGTAAAGTACAGTTTACATATCGCCAAGATGAGAATTGGTGGGAGAAAGTTTTAATATGAATCAAATCAAATTATTTATAATAAATAATAAATCTTTGGACAATTTCACACAGCGCCAGCTAGCCCCAAAGTAAGCAACTAAATTATATACTTTTTTTTTTAAGTACATACATATTATACATAGTAACACCCAGACCCGTCACAGAAATTAAAATTCATCATTTCAATTTCTGCCCGGCCGGGAATCGAACCCGGGACCTCTCGGCATAGTAGTGCGTTCTGAACCACTATTTATTCAGATTGATGATACTAAATTATAGAAAGGGCCTAACCCTTTCTATTATTTAGTATAGTCAATCAGGATGTGTTTTCGACTGTCGATTTATCCACTCACCTGTCAAAATTGTCGAACACCTTTAGCACCGTCCCATCGACGTTGTAAAGCACAATCATCTTGGCTGTGTGCGCGATTAACACCTCGTGATGGTTGGCCCAGCGGCAGTTCAGGAATAAACCCAGCTTGGGCTGTATCGTGCAGTTGCTTGGACAGTTGTTGTTGTATAGTTCTTCGTTTTCTGGAAAATAATGGGAAATATTTGAGTATAGATAGTAAATATTATATTAGGGGGAGTACGCACTGCATTCTATCAACATCTGATATTGTAGGTTTGCTGTGGTATTGTTTGTATAAGAGTTTTTAAGAATTACATTTTGTAAACCTTCGCAAAGTCAACTGCCTGAATAAAACAGACTTCGATATCAATTGAGTATCAAGTTATTCTAAGTGAATGAGGGCTATCGTTTTAGCGCTTACCAGTTAGCGCCACTGTAGAGTAAGGTCCTGTCACTTGCTAGTAGCGAAGACAGTGGCACCAATTGGTGAGCGCTAAAGTGGTAGGAGGACTATCGCATTTGTACTCATCAAGATGGCGCCACTGTAGAGTAAGGTCCTGTCAATCGCCAGGGGTGCCAACTGTTAAGTATAAAAACGATAGCCCTCATTGCAGGACCAGTGCCTCTTTTGATAATAGCTTTCAAATTGGACTATACATATACTTATTAGACATGTTCAGAAAATGTACACTTCATTAATATTTCATACATTAAAGAAAACATAAATAGTAGTTTCTTATATTATTTTGACACAGCCGGACAACAGGACGAAAAAGAAACTCAGCATAATAATCAAACTTAAAATACGAAGTGAAGAATAGTCTATCTGTAAGTGCACAAACCTTCATCAATGACGTCATCAGTCTCCTCCCTCTCGACGTCATCAATGAACCACATCTTGATGACGCCGTCAAAAGACAGCGCCGCCACTTGCGGCGGATTCATGGGGCATGCACCAATCCATTTGATACCATACTCTGATCCGTTCAGCTCTTTCTTTAGTTTGTTAGTGGGTATATGGAAGAACTGTAAGTGTGGTGCACAACAAGTCAGTACGGTGTTTGTTAAAACTAACACTGTGATAGTTTGCTTCAAACAAGACGGTAATAGAATCGATTTCAAAATAAACAACAGCAAGTCAAGTTAATTACAACGAAAAGAGAAATCAACGAATACGTTTGAACGATTTGTTAAAATGATTACTTATTTATGAAGTCATAAGTAAAAAAAAATGTTTGTATGTAAGCTGCAAGCAGGTACAGCAGGGTACTCACTTAAAGGTTAGTTACGTTACGTGCTACATGGAAAATGAGTACACTGCCTGCAATGATGCGTACGCGTCAAGTACGCTACGCGCAGTGGACAATAGCACTTCCAGTTTTTTTCAATTACACATGAAGAAGGTTTGCTATGATGATTAAACTTAAAAGTTTTGGTTCCAGATTTATGTTTTGTTTGTTTGAAGAAAACTAATAACATATAAATTAAGTGTAGGTGACATAATTACACAAATTAAGTCAATTTCCACAACAAAAAATGTATATCAAAAGTGAGAGTGAATCAATCAGTGTGTTACAATTAAGTTTTTATTTCTAACATTATACTTTCAAATTATAGTGTATCCTTACCTTTACAAGCCCAGTAAAAGTACCAACAAGCACGTAGTCGCCGAGAAAGCACACGGCTGAGATATTCTCTTTCACGTCAATGGTAGAGTGTTTTATTTCTTCGACATCTTGTTCATGCCTGAAAAAATAATCGTAGATTAAAATCAAATGCATATTTATGTGAAATTAGTATTAACTACGAGTACTACGATATTAATATAGAAGTAAGTATTCTTTTACGACACCTCGGCATGATGTTGAGTGGATACTGTTTCGGTGACACGCACAATACCTACTTTATTTAGTTTTAGTGTTGTATCATTTTCTTGATTTTGTTTTGAGTCGCTGAATAAAAAATTACATTTCGTTTAAATATAAGAAAAACCGTACCTAATACTTATGTAAGTGTCAAATTACATGGATTAAGATAACTTTTAACAGTCAGGTTTTTTTTTTACTTTATTTGATTTGCAGACAACAATTAGACGATGATACACATATTTTATCACTGTAACAATACCCACAAGTTCTCACGGTTTTCCAACAATATTTATTTTATATTTAGATGTGTCATTTTCTTGATTACCGGTTTACGGTAATTTACATTGTCAAGTCGCGTGCGCGGGTCTCTTCAAGATGTCATACAAAATGCTTGTAAAACCACACTCTGAGCACGCTATTGTATAAGTATGACACGTAACTCGGGAAATTTTCTTGAGTCAACTTTAACTTCTCTGGCGCAACAAATTTTCTTTTTCGGCGGTAAAAATGCATTGAGTTGCATACCCGGCATCCACTCAATGAGTAAACTCAATTAAGAATTTAGTATTAAGAATAAAATTCCTCTAACACCATAAGTATTTTAGGCTTTTCGGAAACACATTTTGAAGGAGTGAGATACCCTGCACAGTGAACTGTGTTAGCGTAAAGATACTAATGAATATAGGTAGTTAGGGACTCGCTTTATTTGAGGAGACTGAGTTAAGATAGGTTTTGTGTTGATTTGTTTACCCATTTACATATAATGAGCTGCAGATTAACTTTGAGATAGATTCAAGATTAATTTTCAACCAATACAAATTTAGGATTTTTTGTTATCTAATCAAAAAGTTAGCATCAGTAATTCGACATTACTCAACTGTCCTATAGATTGTCTGGAAGAGATCGCTTTATAGCTCTTCACACCTTTTTTCTTAATTCCTTTCTTTTCTTGTTTTATGTGGTGTACAATAGTGTTATCTAACCGTTAAGCTAGCACCCATAACACAAGCATTAAGTTGCTTACTTTGGTGAAATTGTCCAAAGATTTATTTATCTATTTACTTACAAGAATTCGAAGTACAGTTCCTTCTTCGCGACGCTTTGCCGAGCCAAATCCCAGGCCTTTGTGTAAAGAATGCCAGTCGACTCGTGCTGCAGTATACTTTGAACTATGTCGGTACTAGGGTACCGGTACAAGTCTATGCCATGGGTACTGATGTACGCTCTGATGCTGCAAAGAAGGTCCCTATCAAGGGTCTGCAAAAAACAACTGTATTTTAAAAAAGTTTGGTTAAAACGGTTACAAAGCATTGCACATACTGGAGCCTCTTTTTAATATAATTATTATTATATGATTCAAATAAATATGTTAATTCTAACTTCCTATGAAGAGCTTGAAATATGGAGTCTTGATAACAAAAACATGCTTTAGTTGATTCATGTTATTATGTATAATGAAATACTATTAACGTTAATGATTCTAGATATAAATAAATGCACCACATTACATTAATTTTGCAGCTGCAAGATTCGAACCCACAACCGTAGATGGTGTTGCAGTGTAAGTACCACCAGACAGCTGTCTTTGTGATCATTTTAATAAAACATAGACCAAAATAATGTGATTCACTGAATGTGATAATACCAATTGACTATTTGCGTCTCATTTGCAAGCCGTGCGAAAATTAATTTTATGAAGATAAACACAACATTTTATGTTATTAAATTATAATTGTGTTTATCCTTATTGATAACACTCAATGGTAAATATTACAACGCACATGTATGGGAAAGTCATTATTTATAGTCAAAGATGTATTAAGTAACTGTGTTTTATTTGAGCGCAGCATTTTTTTAAAAGATTTTAGGGATTGAGAAATTGGTCTAAATAGTATTTTAATGTTAGATAATGAATAGTAATATGAACTAATTAAAATAATAATGTTACAAGGTAAACAAATAACAATGGTTTGAATGAAAAAATCTAAACCACAAAAATGGTTTGAACTAATTAGCGAGCCGATAATGGCGCATGCGTCATAGTACGTCTTCATTATACTCACATCGTTTACTATTTGCGTTTCATACTTTTGTAAGTCCAATATCACGTCCGCAGGTCCCGTGAGCCTCACTTTGTTGCCAAGAAACTTCAGATCCAAATACAACTTGTTGAACAACGACCATCTGTTGTTGAGATTCTTCGTGTTCAATATGTGGTAGCCGATGTAAAACGCTATGTAACCATCGTCCGTTATTTCAACAGGCAGCTGCTTATTCACATCATACTGGTAGCTTTTCAGAAAATCGCTATGCAATTTCTTTTTGTCTTCATCACTCAATAATGTGCCTTTTAAGTACGTCATAATAAGGTCGTGAACTTCATACATGTAGTTCCTCTGATCGTGATCGTAAATTTCTATAATGAGAGATTTGACACGGAGTTTCCTCATGATCATTTCGACATCGCTCGTCTCCTTATTCCAGAGTTTGGATAGAACTCTAACGGATACTTTAACGTTATCTGGCAAGATGGCTAGCATTTTGAAAAGTGGTAGAATGTTTGGTTGCAATGAGTTTATGCAGACCTCTATTGTTTTCATTTGGTTGTCGTTATGCCTCAACAAGCTGTGAATAATGATTATATCTACATGACTATGTGCAATTAAATTTTAGGAGTGGAATGTTATGTCTGGTGCATGCCTAATTTATTAATAACTAAATTTTTTGACAGAGTGGCACTAATACACAGACATGGAAGTGAGGTAATAAGTAGTGTAAAAAACGAAGATTTATAATTATCTCTCTCACTTACCAAAGCATTCCATGGTAAAAGAAAGAAATATTTTCTAGAGGATTAAAAATAGCAGAAGATATTAGTTTACTCAGCCATTTAATGTTGATGATGTGTAAGACTATAGACTGAAATTCTGGATAGGTGACAATAGAAAAAATATGAATGTTTTCATAGACAACCTACTCAAATGTGAATGTGATAGATATATGAAGGACATTTCAATGCAGTGTTGGAGAATATACAATGTAAAAACAGCAGGACTAAATTAATTATACAGAAATGAGTAAGAAGATAACAGTGCTCACTGTGATAGGTTTCAAGCTAAATAAATAAATACAGTAGTCAATACTGCGTAGAAAAATACTTGTTTATGGAGATCGTTTATAATGAAAGTTATGTGAAATACTTACTATAGGAAGTCCTTTTTTTCGAGCTGTTTCAAATAATAGTTCCACCGTTTATGATCATGGATCAGTCTCTCTTTGTCTTCGGCTAGTTGGGCCCCGATTAGACCGATGTTAAAAGGGCTGCCTTTGCACGCATCATGGAACTTCTTGGCTTGTCTGGGCAACTGTGAGACGTCTAGATCCACATACGAAGCCAGCAGCTTTAAGGTTTCTTCTTCTTTGAGACTGTTTTCTACCTAAAAATAAGAAATGTTATCATACAGTTGTGATTAACATGGCAATATTGTATTATTTAAGTAACATTTTAAATTTTTAAGTAAGCATTGACTTATTAAGACTAAGACACATTACAACATGTTTGTTTTGAAATACAACTGAGGCCCGGTTTCCACAAAGGTAGAGAGGAGCGGAGAAATGTTTTGAACAACCAATCAGATGTCGTTCAGATTTAATGAAATTGACAGAATGAAATCTGATTAGTTATTTAAAACATTAATTTTCCGTTCCACTCCGTCTTGGTGGAAACCGGGCCTAAGAGAAATTGACATTTGAAATTCATGCCAATTGCTGGTATCATCATATGAAGTTGTTTAAAGTGAACAGTTGTGGAAGTGCGTACATAAACTCATTGGAGTGATGCCCGCGCAAATCTCCTTGACTCGACCCTCAGGCATTATCGAATCAAATGCAAATTGAACAATGCGGGAATGACCACATAATACCTGTGTTTGAATATTGAGTAGCCAGTGAATAAAATGTTGTCACAAACCAATCGTACAGTGTTGACAGATATAGTATTTCATAATGCTTGTAAAGACATTTTAGGCTAGATATTTGGATTGTAAATCGTGGTAGGGTAAAGTCATACAGCCATGCAGTGATATTAGAATGATTTGGCCGGAGAATCGGTCTTCTACATGGTCTCATACAAATACGCACGTATAGATCAAGCCTCGTGCACGCTATATGGCAATAGTGATATCTTACTCATCGCTCAAATGATAAACTTTTTACACACATAACGGTAACATTTGAGCAGTTATTTACCGTACAGTGGCTGATAAGTAAAATTATACTAAAAATATTGTGATAGATAAAAATATCAACTCAATATAAACAAGCAAATAGAATATACGCTGCTTGAATGAATCATTCACTTACCTTGATAATCAGCGGCTGAAAACTGGAAACGACCTCGGAGTCTCGGGTCGTTACTAATATCTTGCATCCGATATCGAACGCTTCGACGCAAAGTTTCTCATTGACCTCATCTAGCACCAACAGGGCTTCCTTGAGAACCTGTTCCGAGAACTGCGACTTCAACCTGTCCCTCAGTTCTAACCAGGTCCACTCGTAACTGGACAGGGAGTGCGAGTCCATGTTTGACCCTAAACTTGACATTGACATTGTGGAGTTCATGTGTGAGGTGCGAGTGTATATCGACGATGCCCTTCGGTATAATCTGTTGGCAAAAGATATGCATTTTATACTTCACGAATCAGAAATTAGTTTTATCATTTTAGTTCTTGATAGGAAGGTTCAACATATTTTCCGATATTCTTACTAATAATAAAAATGCGAAAGCAACTCTGCCTGTGTCGCTTTCACGCCTAAACTGCTAAACCGATTTTTGATGAAATTTGGCATGGAAATAGTTTGAGTCCCAGAAAAGGACATAGGATAGTTTTTATTTTGGTTTTTGAACGGGACGAATTGAGGAACGCGCGCGATAATTTTTCTGTGACATAAAATTTCATGCAGGCAAAGCCGCGGCCGGAAAGCTAGTATGTTATACTTCGACAAATGCCCCACCAAGGATTTAAACAGTTTTATTTTATACAACCTTTATTTATTACCCATAACAGACCAAATTGGTAGTGGGATCAAGATATTTTTAGGAATGGCTCAGCGAATGATAAATTAATATAAAATTTCATGCAGGCAAAGCCGCGGCCGGAAAGCTAGTATGTTATACTTCGACGAATGCCCCACCAAGGATTTAAACAGTTTTATTTTATACAACCTTTATTTATTACCCCATAACAGACCAAATTGGTAGTGGGATCAAGATATTTTTAGGAATGGCTCAGCGAATGATAAATTACTGTCTACTTCAGAAAATTAGCTTCATTAGTACTTTGGGAGGCGTGTAGGCGAATCACACGACAGAACTCAATCACTTATGTTTAGTTTAAAAACTTTTGTTAATATTATCATTTAAATATATAAAAGGAGAAACTGACTGACTGACTGACAGATCAACGCACAGCCTAAACGGCTAAACGTAGGCACTTGAAATTTGGAAGGGACGTAGCTTAGGTACCGTAGAGGTGCACTAAGAAAGGAATTCCCGAAATTCCCACGGGAACGGGAATTAGCGGGAAAAACGGGATTCACGCGTACGAAGTCGCGGGCGGCCGCTAGTAGCTTGATATTTTTGTTTGCTACCGGTTGAAACCAGTGTCTTACTTTCATAATATCTTCAAAACTTGTTTACACAGCTAAATTTGGCACATGCATCGTATTATCATTGCCTACAAACAAGTTTCGAGCTGGAATACCGAATACTACGCGCAATACATAACGATGATTGAACAATCGTGGACAATATTTCACTCCCACACTATTTATACATATTTGGACGATTCTTTATTTCGTGTATTGGAAACACCATGATGACTCACAGATTTAGGATAATGTATTGGACTTGAATAGAATAATTATCTAAGTACTGATATTACTAATAAACTACAAATAGAAGAACAAACCAAAATGAGTTTAAATTACAGCTTGGATTTGAGACCTTGAAAATTAATTTCAAATAAAAGCAAGGCATTTTCCTCATTAGTTAAACAATTACTGTGATTTTACGTGTAAATGTTTGCTGAAGCTGGTTTCAAAACCAGGGTAAACCCAAGATATTAAATGAGACATAGCCATTTAATTGAACCATCACCTTATTCTACATAATTAGTGGATCCTAATCAACGATACACTTCGAATATAGATGAGAATTACTCACTTATTTTGCTGTGCTATGACGTCATATTTCGTCTTACATTTTGCCAGATTGAGCCAGAATATAACTCCGTTGAAGTTGTTGGTGATAAGTTCGGAGTTATCGCGGAGGACGCTGATCACCGCTGAAGTCTTCCTAGATCCAGACATGCCGTGCAGGGCCAGAAATGNGTTCCTGGTCAGGCTATAATTAGTGCATCCTAATCAACGATACACTTCGACTATAGATGAGAATTACTCACTTATTTTGCTGTGCTATGACGTCATATTTCGTCTTACATTTTGCCAGATTGAGCCAGAATACAACTCCGTTGAAGTTGTTGGTGATAAGTTCGGAGTTATCGCGGAGGACGCTGATCACTGCGGAAGTCTTCCTAGAGCCAGACATGCCGTGCAGAGTCAGAAATTACTTACTTATTTTGCTGTGCAATGACGTCATCTTCAGTCTTCCAGTTTGCCAGGTTGAGCCAGAATACAACTCCGTTGAAGTTGTTAGGCCTCAGCCTCGAGTTTAGCGGGCAGCGGGGCGGGAGCGGCGGCGGCGCGGGCAGCGGCGCTTGAGCGGGCAACGAGCGGGCTTCTTCTCGGGCACTCCTTCTTTTGCCCACAATAAATCGAGCGTTAGGAATAAATTTGAATCGAAATAAAATTGTCGCCGTTGTTCAAACATTTCGTTTGCGAATAAAAACTAATATCTCGACAACACAACCCCTAACACAACATTTCGCCGCTAAAGCGCCGCGCGAGCTGCCCGCTTGTTTCGAGAACGGGTCTGCGTTGCCCACCCCGCTCCAGCGCCGCCGCCGCTCCCGCCCCGCTGCCCGCTAAACTCGAGGCTGAGGCCTTAGTGATAAGTTCGGAGTTGTCACGGAGGACACTGATTACCGCTGNAGAGCCAGACATGCCGTGCAGGGCCAGGATCTTGTGCCGGGCAAGGACAATCAATCTTGTTTCTATTTCTTTTTCCTGTGGTAAGTTTCATATGCGATTAAGGACACTTTATTTCTAAATTTATTTTACATGAGCTTTTGCATTGCAAATAATTTAAGTAGGAAGTTTGATTGTTTACTCAGCTAAAATAAAAGTTACAGAAAAAAACTACTTCGATTAATTACACTGCACAACAGCATTTCTGATGATTGGGTTATGTTACATGATATTAGTCCAATTTTTAATGACGATTTCAAATCTGTGATTGAAATATCTGTATCAGCTCTGGTTAAAAAAATATGACACTTGGGTCTTTTTGTAAAAAAACACTCTTTTTTTAGAGATGATCCTATTTTATGAAGTTGTTAAGTTGAAAAAACTATCTTTTATTTGATTTCATTGCTGATGCTGAAGGCAGACAGCTCTTCTGAATGATTCAACAGCAGTCAGCCATCATGTGTGCATTCCAGTGGCCCTGATAGCGTCCCTCTATCGGACGAAGGCCCTGGTGGATTTGCTCGCCATGAACTTCACTTAGATCCTTAAGAGTTGTGATAAAATTGTTCAGGTGATTGCGAAGAGAGTGTAATTCGATGTTTATCTTACATCCAACCAAAAAAACATGTTTGTAAGTGACTCATACGTTGTTCGATGTGTAAGAATAGTAAGATTTTTTCGGATTTTCCAAAAAAAAAATTAAAATGCCTAAATAACTCAATCCATGTCTTTTCGGAAGACTTGAAGATCCTAAATCTCTAAAACGATCGTGTAAACCATCTTGGCTACATGGTTTTGAAAATTTCGGGTCACATTCAAAGTCTCTACCACACTGACAGTTTTCGCCTCAAAATCCTCATGTGAAGTATCAACATGAGGTTCAGGTGACTTCTTAGGGTTGAAAAGACCAGAAATTACTTACTTATTTTGCTGTGCAATGACGTCATCTTCAGTCTTGCAGTTTGCCAGGTTGAGCCAGAATACAACCCCGTTGAAGTTGTTGGTGATAAGTTCGGAGTTATCGCGGAGGACGCTGATCACCGCTGAAGTCTTTCCAGAGCCAGACATGCCGTGCAGTAAGCCAATTTTACGAACTTTGTCACATTTAAACGGATTATTTAAACATATCCTCTCCGCAAATGAAACAAAGTTGATTTAGATCAATCACACAAACACTTCTTAATGCTACCATATTAAATTATATAAAGAAAACATAGTACTTTTTGAACTGTCGGCGAATTAAGACTGAAATTTAGCAATTTTTGAGTGAAAGCTATAACACGTAAACAAGAGCTGCTACGAAAAAATGGACGGCAGATTAAGAATCAGCGACGTCAAATTAGTAAACATCATGTAATGAAAGTCAATCATCAGCCAAAAGTTGCAATTTTGTTGTGCAGTGTTATCCAACGGCTTAAAAACGATAATACAGTAGAACGCCGATTATCCGAATTAATTGGGACCGGGGTCGATTCGGATAATCGAAAATTCGGATAATCGGACATAGACTGGTAATAAGGAAAAAGCGTGTTTAAAACGAACTGTCACACATAAAATAAACATTATTAACTGTGTTTACAGTTCTGCAACAACGCTCGGTTGAAATATATCTAGACTCCTGCGAGTTCCAACTTGTTACAACAAAACAAAATAAAAATTACTTGGTTTAAATTTTTTATATTACGCTTAGGACCGATTCGGATAATTGGCGATTCGGTTAATCGGCGTTCGGATAATCGGCGTTCTACTGTATTGTGTTAAGACCTTTTTTCACTAGCCGAATTTGATGATTTGGTAAAGTAAGAAAGGATGACCGTGGTAAAGTAAGAAAGGAAGGTGTTAAAAAACGAAATCGTTTTGCGAAGTATGTAAATAAAGACATGCGAAAACTAATAATCAAGAATTTATATTTTAAAAGATATTTACCAAAGACGTCCTCCTGACGTAGTGCATAGGCAGCCTCGGGACATCGCCACGGCTCAGGCTGTCCTCAAAGCTTTCGTTTAGCATTGGCTCGTTGTTTTCCACCACCAGTTTCTTCCAGAGCCAATCGTAGTCCTTAGCCAGGCAGTCGACAAACGCCTCGAACGTACTGTTGGTGCCATACGCCAGTAAGTAGTCAACTATATACCTCGCGCGGTCTTTCCGACTTTTCTGCAATGTACAGCAATTGACATAAAAGGTCGCATTATCTTTTGTGTGTGTGAGCTAATGTCACAAAGTTGTTATAACAGAAGGACGCAGACCAATTACCATGCACTTAAAGATAAATAGAGCACAAGGTAAACTAACAGTTACGCAAACAGTGAAATGGAATAGAAAAGCCTACGATTGTCATTTGGACTCTCCTCCTAAATACTTCGACAAGGATTTATGATATTAGAACTATGACTAATAAGGATACGTCACAGATATGGTCAGTGTTAATTCAATCCTACGAATTGGGTATGGATGGAGATAATGATATTACGTGTTATTGATAACTGACGTTGCAAGTGTAATAACAGATAGGTAATATGATTTATTTAAAGCTTAATTTCTTCTAAACTTGCCTGATAACAGCCGTTAAAAATAGTTTGACAAACAATCTACTTGTGAGTAGTTGAAGTCAATTTAGGTAATGATGTTTCATCTCATTTGAATAAGTATGTCGCAAATCATAGCGTGCTTGCGTGTTACTATCTGTAACGAATAACTGACCATAGTTGGTCTGATTATTCTGATGGAAAATCTAAAGGTGTTCTTCCACCGGGGCGAATCACGAGAATGTAACAATATGTAGGTACCTACTGGATTAGATTCTGAGCGTTATGCTTTGACGTAAAGCTAAAAGACTTGTTTGTATACGCATAACTCCCAGTGAAAAAGCACCTCAAATATAAACGTCTCAGATGTTACACCTGTTACAATTTTTCAACTATTCGTAATTCGTATGTATAGCTATAATTTCTGCCGGTATTGGTATAGGTTTAAGTTCGTCACAGTCCGATCATATGACGAATATAGGTATAAAGTTGTTAGGATGGTTTTTGTACCATTACCATTAGCAAGAGACTTATCTCTTGCTTGTTGTGGTGATTCACATAACGGTAATCCAACGTTAGTTAGTTGAGTGTGATTTTGACGACATCTAGGCACCTACATTAAAAATATCATGGTTTGGATCTGTGTCATTTCAAATAAATTTAAATAAGCGATGGCTCCATACCCGGTTGATTATCTCGTCGAACTCATGGCCCGTGATCACTTGCTTGGCGAAGAGAGCGTCGACGATGAACTCGACATCCAGATCCTTTACGATGTCGAGCTGGTAGCGCTGAAGCAGCTGCCTTTTCTTGTTGTCCATCGTGTTTGTTTGCGCCTTTGTGGCATCTGGAAAAATATTTAAATTACACATCGTGATCTACGTAGAAAACAATGTTGCGGGTCCAATGGGAGTTTAACTTTCCCGCGGGATAAACTTGACCTTTTTCTTGAGTGGCGACCACGAGCCGGAAGACGTAGCGTGGGCAGGCCTCCCACTAGGTGGACCGACGATCTGGTGAAGGTCGCGGGAGGTGCCTGGATGCGAGTGGGCCTTGGACAGGTCTTTGTGGAAATCCTTGGGGGAGGCCTTTGTCCAGCAGTGGACGTCTTTCGGCTGAAACGAGTACGAAACTTGACCTTCACAGGTTGGGTTTTTATTGGCGGTAAAGCTGCAGATCCTGGCTACACAGGAGTTGCAGCGGTGAAGGGGATAGATGGGAATAGTCATATACAGACGACGATAGCACGTCAAGCTGTGGCTTCATAAGTACACTAATAGAGGCGATATTGCAACAAAAATGTTTGGTCTGATGTGCTGTCGTCTTTACATAATTGGAATATGCTTCGATCCCTAGATGTAAAAGCGCTCATTTACCAGGAACATTCACGTGTAATGTAAAAGTACACTGTTACATGTAAACAACAGTATAATGGAGAGTAATGTTTAGAAATAAAGCTCAATTTTGATGCTGCTCCCAGTGATAAGCGTTTACAAGTCGCTAATTCTTATCTTGCACTGACTCCTATCACAAACAATGCTGCCTGTTAAGGTCTGTCCGTCCATAGGCGTTAGTGCAATTCACGTCTCTGCAAGTCTCGGCAATATTGAATATTTATAATAATTTACGAACACAACGATCGCGAAAGCATGGCATTAAAGGGCAGCAAAGGGAATTAGCTAAGCGCTTCAACAGACTATTTGTCTAAATGGATCCAAATGTAGATAATAACTTAATGACTATAGAAAATAATAGTAATGCGTATTTTACTGAATGGTAAGTGAAGTGAGTCGCATTATCAGGATTGGAAAGTATGTAAATAAAACAGAACGATGTTTCTAGTATGTTGGTGTTTTCCATAAAACTCGCTAAGGGCATAGAAATCAAACGTTACCTTGAATAAAAAATAGAACACGCACTTGAAATGACCGCTGCTACTAAAAGACCACTTGACTTTTTAAACCGAAGTTTTAAATGGCTCTAAAAATACCGAAACATTAGTGTGGCTGGAGATTAAGATTCAAACTGAGTAATTCTTAACATTGCGCGACCTTGCGTATTAGTGCCACCTACATAATAAATAGTCAAACACGTCAAAAATACGAGAAGAGTGCCGTTGACCGCGCTATGGCCTCTGACGGCCAAGGCCGCTATTAATTGGGAAGTTTTGGGAAATTAGTAAACATCAAATAAATGAAATAATACACAAGTTCTTATAATCGCACAATAACTTATTAAAATTTCTTAGCGATTAGAGTCGCTTATTAAACTAAATTATAAATAAACAATTTGAAAAAATCATACTGCCTAAGTCGGGAAATTGTGTGCAGTTAGATTTTTCAAGTTGTTTATTATAATCACACAATAGTTTTGTGGCTGACAAAACAACACATTTTACGAATAAGATATTAATGTCATTTATTTATTAAACTCATCATTATAGCGAGATGCCAATAACCAGAGTATTAAACACGTAGTATTGAAAGTTTACCTGCGTGATAAAAGATGGAAAGGAGAAAGAAAAGTAATTTAAATTATTGATTTTTCTTACATGATTAAGATCATGGTCGTTCCTTAATGTCAATTTGAATTTTTGCGATAAAATGAGTTCTATTGAAGTTTTAAATACTTGATGCAGTTTCGTTTTCTAGATAATGGGCTAATAACGTTGATCTTGAACAACTTATTTTAGTAGGAGTATATTGTGCTAGTAGGTACGTCTGGATGCTAGTTCTATCTAGCCAGTAACTACAATGATTAAAAAGATTTTAGAGTTTAGAATCACACTTATGCGAATGTGACTATAAGTCTGTGTTCGCCATTCAATTCCTAGATTTATTTACTTACTGCATAATTTCAATGCACAATTATTATTTATATGCTGTAAGAGTCCCAGACCTGATTCCTTTTCTATTTTTAGGTCAAGGTTAGCTTACCTTTGTATTGTTCTCTACGATAATTGTTGCCGGATGTGGTAAAATGATAAAGTGACCAATCAATTATTTGTAAAAAGTTGAAGTGGTATGATTTTATAGCTTAATATTATCTTGAAAGTACGCTATCAGTAGTTATGAATAAAATAACAAGTGCATGACAAACAACAAGTTTTAACAAGTTCAAATATGTTATAATATCTTATTGTGTTTTAGAAAGTTATTTATCATTTTATGGGTTGTTTATTATTGTGTTATCTTGTGGCTTTATTTACTAAAGAAGTGTTAGCACTGTAATTTGAAAGCTCATAAAGTATTTGATACCTACTATAGAAAAAAGTTTAATCTGTGAGTAGTGTTAGTTAGAACATGGTTAAATTTGAAATACCACAAAACTTTTTCTTCAAATAATAACAATTTATACCTAGGTATTTTTTAAATGCTGTTTTTATACTAACCAGAGTACATTATCAAATTAATGAATAAATTTAATCCAGAATTTGGCAAAAAAGATCCACTACCTTATCTAAACAATGGGTCAAGTGATTCACCATCTTCCCTTATTAATATTGTGTGGTTAAAGTTATTTATAAATTAAATTACATTTGAAACAAAAGAAAAAAGAACTGGCTGGTTATAAGAGAACTAAGGCAATATCTCTTACAAATGAGATGATTAGGTGATAAATCAGTGAATCCCCCAAAGTTTTGATATGGAAAGTTGATGAATGATATCCTGTCTCAATTTACATACCAATGACAATGAGTCATTGCAAAATCACATAAAAAGTGCAGGTATTTGTATCCCTCATGGCATGGTGTTATTGTTTCAGATAAGCAATGTTTCTTTCATCGAATCTAGTTTTGATTCTGATGAATGGTTCTAGATACAAAAGCCAAGACAGCAGTTTATACATGCTACATTAATCTAAGGCTACATGTTATTGTGTCAGCAACCTTGTATTTGGTGAATTGAAAAATAAATAAATAAAAATAACTGTGTTCAAAACCTTTATCTATAGTCATCACTCATATTTGTTTCTTTTTTTCATTTATAAAGCAGTAGGGATATAAAAATAAGTAGCAATAATGCCAAAAAAATGTTTTGATGAATCAAAGCTTTCATCAAATTATAATTTTTTGGGTAAGCATTGCAGTGACAATGTTATCATAAGTTTAAGTTACTAAATGAAGTACTGACCAAGCAATCACATAAACATTTCGTTAATTTAGATGTATTTTCGTATGAAGTAAACATTTTTGACTATCATAACCGCCAACAAAGTTTCAAATCAACAACTACTTACCCCTTGTTTACTATGTTTTGATCATTTCGTGAATTTTGCACTTGCACGACTGCCTTTGATCCCACAACTTAATTTGTTTCTAAATACAAGAACTGTTACTATCAACATCAACCTCACTCAAAATAACAAAGCAAACAAAGTGCATTCACCACTCGTGCATCTACAAAAATCACTAAATGACATAAATGCATCTTTCCGTTTTCTTTTTCATTTTATTCTATCAAAATGTTATCAACGTCAAGCCTGTTTGTTAATTGGTCAATAATAAATTATAGTTGAATCGGATTGGCTGTTAGTATTATGTCACTTTTCTCGTTTGTTTTCATTGCACTACTTACTTCAAGCTCTGGATAACTGTATTTTAGCCATTTAGAAGAATCGCCTGTCGCCGCGACAGCAGGCTTAACAGCAGGATAAAGTCTTATTTTTTATATTTAGTTTTGTTTAATTTTCCAAAGTGTTATCCCAAATAGGTAAGTGTGTAATAATTTATTGTGGATTACTAACCAATAAATGTTTTATAACGTGTATGAGTGTAGGCAAATAAAACGAAGCAGTGCATAATCAATCACATTTCAAATTCTTTCAAGAAGTCAGTGTGAGATCTTAGTAAAACGCCACATCTTATACTGAATCTCAAGGGGAAGAAGGGATAATAATTATGTATTATAATATCATTAAATAAATAGCATTAGTTTCACAAAAGAAATAAGGATTTGGCTGTATAGACGAGATCCGAAGCCGTAAAACTTGTAATAAAAAAAACAAAACAGGATTTCTTAGCAGTCCGCGCGTGGGATATAGATGACCCACGCTGAACTGTCCCGCCAAACTCAATGACAGGGGGGCGCTACCATCGTTCAACTATATGGTTTCCAACATGGCAAAAATCTGAACCAGCGATCCGGTATTGACGGTGGCGCCCCACTGTCAATGTCATCGACAGGACAGTCCAGTATTTTGGAACTATATTTAAATGCATGCAGCAATAATGGCGGGAAAGTGGAGCCGTGTGAGCAGTTATGATAAAAACTAGCTTTTGCCCGCGGCTTCCCGCGTGAAATTTAGTTTGTCACAGATCGTCATAAATGCCTATAATATGTTATTCTGGGTTATAAACAATAACTGTAAAGTTTCATCAAAATCCGTACAGTAGTTTTTGCGTGAAAGAGTAACAAACATGTTGATATCCAGACATCCATACAAAAACTTTCGCATTTATTTATAATATTAGTAGGAAGTAGGATTTAAGACGTACAAAACATAATAAATAGGCAATAATAAATAAATATCCCTGGATATTTTAACAAAAAAACTCAAAAAAGTCAAAGTATTTATTTACACTACGCTTCTAGTCCCAAACTAAGCAAAGCTTGTCAAAGCTTGTACTATGAGTACTAGAAGACAACAGATATACCTACCTAAACATACTTTTAAACACTTTTTTATTTGTAAATTAAATACATACATATTATTATTATCAAGAATATGTACCTATATCTTTTTGGAAATAAATATTTATTTTATTATTACATAGTAAGTAACACCAATATCTAAGCAAATTAATTAAAATGGTGCAACATTACATTACCACTAACTCAAGAAGTCCGTGTGATGAGGTCTTACGCCCGATTCCCATTTCAATCCTTGTCCAAATCCGGATTACAACTGTCAAATTGAATTCAGTTTTAGACTATGTTTCCAAAATTTTCGATGCATTTACACTTTAATATTGTTTAAATAGTCTTATAAACAATATAAAAATGTAAAAACATCAAAAACCGCAGTTATTTTGGCCAAAAACATATTAAAATTTGTCAGTTGACAATCCAAATCCGTATAATTTGGATTAGGATTGAATATAGAAATCCAGCATTAGTAAAGTGATAGAGTGGGACCAGACCATTCTGGGGGTAATACAGTACTTGTTATTATTCTGTGGTAATACGCGCATGTTTTACTAGATCATCGATGAATTTGAGATTCAAGAACCAATTTTTATATTCCTCATTCCTTAACAAACATCATAACAAGCATTTTTTTTTATTGCACGTAGCCGTACCTACCTAAATAAAATATTGTGCGCTGAACGTTATAAGTACCTATAAGTAAGTAGATAGTACTTTTACCACAGCTAGGCTAAATGAATGGTGAACTTTTAGTTCGAAGAATCCGCTAAAGACATATAATAATCATCTACTTTTAGATGATGTGTAAATAATTATTTTGTTATAATAAGTAGCCATAATATCAGCAGTAATCTTTATAAGGTTTTAATAAATCTTTATTGGGAAGTTTGTAGGTGGGTATTTAGGTAAATTAAAGACATTTTTGACTTAAGTAGCTACACATAATTATAAACTTACTGTATAAGTAAGGTACTTGATACAAATAAGGCCTACGTTCTAATAAGGCCTATACATCAGAAAACACAGATAAACAAATCCAACCGGGATAATACTTCAAGGAAACGTACTCATATGCCCTACAACCCGGTAGAGTGCAAGAGCGTCCCGATCCACGATCCCAGCACCAATTGGCACGCGTTCTTCTAAGGTGGTGGGTGATTTCGTGCTCTCTTATAAAAATCTGGCGATTTCATATTAAATTTTCGGTAAAATAACGCTGTTTTAGATTAAGCTTTTCTTAGTAATCGTTTCTAAATATTTCTTACTAGCTAATAATTACCTTAATTTGTACTACTGGCTATTTCAGCATGGTAGGCCATATTGGATACTTATGTCAACACCTGATTACGGACAAATTCATTAAACTAAATGAGTCAAAGTGTAACGAAATATTTATTTAATAAGAATGTTACTAACAGCACAGAAAATAAAAAGAAAACAGAGTAAAAAAAAATTACTAAACCTGTAAAAAAAAGAAACAAAATACAAAACCAATAAAAAATAAGATAAAAAAAGCCGTATGTATAAATCTAAAGGATTAAAGCTGATATTATCATGCTTGTCTTGAAGACAATGTAGCAGATGTGCTACCATAAAGGACTGCTTTTGGTGGTATCATAAAGATTGTGTAGGAGTTCGTAAAGATGATTCAGAAGCCTTTTTATGCCCTGGTTCTAACAAAAATTGAGATCTCATTTTGTTTACAAAAAATCAAGACTAAATGATGTTCCTAAACGGATTTATTTAAAAGGTTTTATGTGTAGGCCTTATTCGAACACGGTGTTTTAATAAGCCCTATACAAAAAAATAATATTGTTTGTTTTTGATATTTTTTTTGATAATTTAAGTAAGGAATCATTAATTTGTTACTATGAATATTTAATTTTATCTATAATTTATGTATTATTCTTAATAAGTGGAATTTAAGTTAATCTAGAGATATACAGTATATTTCTGTTTACTTGGTATGTAAAATTTTAATAACGCAAACAAATCGACGTGTTTAATGTTATAAGACCGCATTTTGTTTAAAACAACCTCNTCGAAAACGGTTCACCGTATAAAAAATTTTTTTAAACAAAATTTGTAGAGAATTTAGTATTCTACAATATTGATAATAAATAGAAATAGCAAAAAACCCATAGGAAATGAAATATTTCCAAAAAAAGCGCAATAAACCGATTTTTGTGACCTTTGACCTTAAATTTTAATAGTTGCTTACACCCTACCATATGTAGGTTTTGAGACAACTTTTAGGGTGTCAATATACAAGTATTTACAGACTTACAGCTGGGTATCTCTAATTCCGAGATTCTTACCTAATTTAAGCTTAAATGACTGGACTATAATAGAATTTGGTGTAATATACGTTTAAATAGATTATTCGTTAATTAAAACAAAGGATCAAGTTGATGTTTCTATAAATATGGGTTCCAAAACTCAAACTTTTGGAGTACGGACATGCCTAGAGAATGACGTTTTGTGTCATTTAAAAGGAATTTAAGATGTTTTAAAAATAGTTTAAAAAAATATAAATGGGTGATGAATAAAACACATTGCGAACTGTTATTTAAGAATTTTGGAATAAAATATTATAAAATATTCCATGTAAAATGTGGCGCGGACTAAGAGTTGACATATTTTTGTGGAACGACCCAGTAGATATTATCATCTAGTTTTAGATGATGTGTAAAAAATACTTTGTTATAATAAGTAGCGATAATATCACCCTATTTCAGTAGCAAGATATAAGGTCTTAATAAATCTTTATTGGGAAGTTTGTAGGTGGGTATTTAGGTAAATTAAAGACATTTTTGACTTAAGTAGCTACACATAATTATAAACTTACTGTATAAGTATAAATAATAAATAAAATCTGATCAAGGAGGCGTATTAATTTGCGGTGAAATATTTTAATTCGCTGCGTCCAGGTATAGCAGATGGTTATCACAAAAACTTTTCTTCAATGTCCTTACTGTAAACAAGGTCTCTTTTGAGGTTTTGTAACGCGCTCATGAATGGCGGTGTGTGTGGCTTTTAATAAGATTTATTGTAACTGATCTTGTTTTGACATTCACAATGGCACGGACGACGCGGCAAACGACGCCTTTGTGTGGTCTCCCAAGACCATTGTAAGTTGGCAAAGTCAAAAATAGTTTGTAAACACACCTGGTCTTGCACATAAAAGGATAGTTTCCCTTTCTACTTAATAGCGTCAAATTATTTTTAACGAATTTATGTGGAAATTCATAATTTTGTTCTAACTTCTACAAAACCGAATACTTAGTATTTTTAATATTCTGTACATATATCAGATAGAGAGTAGGTAGGTAAATATTAAGGATGTTACAAGTTATTGGTAGTCAAAACGTGTGACGTGTTTAAACACGCAACATACGAGATAACAGTGAAACTCCCTTGAGTTACGGTAATGCTCCTACTGATACCGCGACACTCTCAAAACATGATACACCATACATACCCGATGCCTTAAGTTTAATCTTAATAGCTCATACCTTGTAAAGATGTCCACTTTCACGTCACTAAAAGTCGATTGTTGTTAAATTTTATGAGTCATTAAATAAAATAGTACTTAACTCAAGATAATTACAGGCTAGAATTTAAGTCAAAGTATTCGTCTATTCAGATTTAACGAGGGCATAATATATCCTAGTCAAACACCGTAAGGTTTCCTGACCTCTATGAATGTCATGTTTGGTTGATTGCGAGGATCTGATTATTAGCGTATTCGCTCATAAATTACTTGTGT